GAAAAAAACAATTTTAATCAATTTTAGAATAAGGCTGTAACCTACCAAAATGTAGTCAAGGGGTCTGAATACTTTCCAAAGGCGCTGTATATCAGGTGTCTTCATTTTTCTCCTATTCATTATATATTCACTAAATCCACACTCAGCAGGGGAAGGAAAACCAAGGCCTCGTAAAAAAAATTTGACAAGATCATTTAAATAGGAAGTACGCTGGAACAAGCATCTGCCCTTCAATTTGCCACAGATGACAATTACTCACTGAACTGTGTTGTGTGTGTGTGTGTGTGTGTGTGTGGTTTGTGTATGTGCATGTGTGTGCATGAGGTGTGTGTGTGGGTAGACCCCAAAAACAGAGAAATACTCTGTGTATGATTGGGATGCCACCCAGTGGCTGAGGAGAAAGCTATCTCTCTCTCTCTCTCTACAGTGGGCGAAATCCTCATAGCCCTGGGTTATTATTCAACAATGACACTTCTCAGCCAATCAATATCTCATCATTGGAGTTGAAACAGCCAGAGGGGTATACTACGAAGCAAGCTAGATCCACTCAGGGTATTCTAAAGCTATTCCAGCTCAGGCTTCATCCGTAGCCTACTACGATGGCGGATACTGCTCGTCAGCCTGCCGCTAACTCTACAGATAGGTCATCTCTCAGTGCAGGGCATCTCTCAGGAAAGGTGGGGGTGTCCAAAGGAGTGGGTGTTTCAAAAGGAACTATATATGGAGAAGTGGGGGTTTCGAAAGGAACCATTTAAGAAGTGGGGATTTGTTGCACGTGGCTAGTCGAACACTGAACTAGTCATTGAGACAATGCCGAAACATCAATCCACAAGTCTGTTTCACATTTTAATTTGTGCCGAAATCAAATTTAAAGAAAAGTTATCTTGCAAATTCAGTAGGCTTTTGTGTGAAATAGACTTTTAAATGAGCCGTCTTTATTTTGTTACTTTGGTGTGCTTCGTGTGGTTATCAATGTGCAAGCACATTTTTTCCCACTCCCATTGATAATATAATTGTATTAATACTAAAGTTTTACTGAAGTAAATGTGTAATGTGATAGGTTTTTTAACACCCAAAACACATTTGATTAATAAAATATGAAATCAGTTGTCTTCCTCAAATGAAGTGGATGATGATGCAATCTTTGCTAGAGGAAGGGAATCTGATTTAGGCTAATTGGTCCTCAACTCAAGGCTCAGACACTAAATTCAGGATAAATGTATACTGAACAAAAATATAAACACATCATGCAACAATTTCAAAGATTTTACTGAGTTACAGTTCATAGAAGGAAATCAGTAAATTGAAATAAATTAGGCCCTAATTTATGGATTTCACATGACTGGGCAGCCATGGGTGGGCCTGGGAGGGCATAGGCCCCCCAACTTCAGTTTTTCCCCACAAAAGGGCTTTATTACAGACAGAAATACTCCTCAGCACCCCCCATCCTCCCCTCCTCAGACAATCCCGCAGATGAAGAAGCCGGATGTGGAGGTCCTGGGCTGGCGTGGTTACACGTGGTCTGCGGTTGTGAGGCCAGTTGGACGCACTGCCAAATTCTCTAAAACGACATTGTAGAGAATGTCTTATGGTAGAGAAATGAACATTCAATTATCTGGCAACAGCTCCGTTGGACAGTGCTGCAGTCAGCATGCCAATTGCATACTCCCTCAAAACTTGAGACATCTGTGGCATTGTGATGTGTGACAAAACTGCACATTTTAGTGGCCTTTTATTGTCCCCAGCACAACGTGCACCTGTGTAATGATCATGCTGTTCAATCATCTTCTTGATATGCCACACCTGTCAGGTGGATTAATTATATTGGCAAAGGAGATATGCTCACTAACAGGGATGTAAACCATTTTGTTCACATTTGAGAGAAATAAGCTTTTTGTACATATGGTACATTTCTGGGATCTTTTATTTCAGCTCAGGAAACATGGGACCAACACTATACATGTAGTGTTTATATTTTTGTTCAGTAAAGATAGCCCTGAGTTAACCTGTCCCGGAGCAGGTTAGCTCTTAAGGATTCATTGCCATAGAAATGTACCTAGCTACAGTGAGCCACTTTCATGGTACCGGTTATCCCAAGTTTAACCAAATTTAGCTGCTAACTCTTCAAACTACATTCGTAGTATAGGGCTCTGATTCTTGGTCCTAGAAAAAGTGAGTGTGAGCTGCCGACACGCTCCAGTGTGTTCTGTACATGCAGCTGTCAATCTGTCGGTCCACAAACAGAAGCAAAGTACGTTAATTAGGCTTGCCATTTGTGTCCATTTACATTTGATGACCACTGAAAATGGATTGCTGAGTTGAATTCTGGATGTTTGTACACCTATTTTTACATGTTTACATACCCTTCATATGCAATATGAACATATGAATGCATTATGAGTATGAACTGTTATAATTGCCCAGCCCAAATCAATAGCTCTTCCAGGTAAAACTACATATCAGGTGTAAAACGGTCAAACTTTAGTCCAAGTTTAAGAGGGGGTTTTCCTAGCATAGGCTAGGCTGTTTAAGGTGGAAAATGATGGTATGACAAGGACATCATAATGGCTACTGGGTATGCAGGATATCAAATTGAAAAATAAAACATGACATAAAAAAATATTCAAACTCCCTCACCCACTGTGACTGACAAGCCAGACTTTATTGTAAGCAATAGAAAGGCAAAAACAATTAAGGCGCTTTCAGACACTGACTGTATAATGCCAATGAGATGAGATATCTTTGTGACAGCACTGCCAGTGAGCAGGAAGACAAAGACAGAGTGGGAGAAAGAATTGAAGAGAAAGAAAGTTAAATTTACATTTCGATCCATTTATGAATATGGGAAAATGTAAATTCAGCCATTGAAAGGATTATTGAATGTTCTATTGTATATAGGCTATGGTGCAGTATGTACAGTAACTATATACATTCTACAGCCTCTTACAAACCAGAATTAAAACACATGAAATTATATATTTTACTGATCTTCACAACCTAGGCTACGCAACATTTGAAGGATAAAATAAATTACATATTTAATGAATTCAGTTTTATTTTCTACCACTGATCACGTTTGACAACCAACCAGGTGCCAGGTGTAAACAAGAAAAGTTGTGTGGTTACATATACACAGAACACCGCCCTAACACAGCACACTCACCCCAAACACTTTTCACTTACAGAATTCACCTTTCAATGCTGTTGTTGGCATCTCTCCTCCACAGCCCAATAATGGTGCTTCTTTAGAAATCTCTGCCAGAAGCAGTAAAACGTTATCCACGCTCACACTCCAGTGACAGAGAGAATGGCATTTTGATCAATTCAATTCCAGCCCATGCTCAATTGGATTCATTTGTATCCAGAGATCCTTGCCAGGAGTCTGGCAGAAAAAGTTAATTACCTGCCTGTAAATACATTTTGAAAGGAAATATTGAGAAATCTTGGGGGTGCTGCCAAGAAGTCATCTACTGACAGACAGTGTTTCTCCAGTTTTTAAAGGCCTCCTTCGTAAAGTTCATTGTATTAATTCCATCTTAAAACGGTCCTAATTTATTTATTTTAAGTTGTTCCTTCTATGAACTGTAGCTCAGTAAAATATTTGAAATAGTTGTTTACATTTTTGTTCAGTGTATATTATTTAACCCTTAAAATAAGATAAAGGAAAACAGTGCAAAATCACCTTTAAGGATTGCATCAAGCCACAGGTTTTGCCAACACACCCCACTGAGTGTCCGTTTCTCCCCTCAGCCTGTGGATACGGCAGACAGACAAGGATTGTTCTTCTCATTCCCAACCCGACTCTCTCCCTCCTCTACCTCTCTCCCCGATTATATCCCTCCCTCCTGTTCATTAGGCCCTCAGACAGTCTTGCCATCCATCCACCACAGAATTGCTTTCTCTTTGACTGTGTGCAGACAATCACCCATTCCATTACGGTGTTGATATCATTTCTCCTCTCCGTGCGAGCGCAGAATAAACTGTGAGATGGACAGTTTTCCCTTTCGATAAACAGAAAGACGGCTGATAATGAGAAACGCCGCCAAGGTCATCTCTTTGAAAAGACGGTGGAGGAAAGAGAACTGTGGTACTGGGAAAACGCTCATGGATGCTAGCTTTTTCCAGAGCAAATAACCCCGACCAGTGCTGTTCTACATTAAAGCCAAGGCTCTAGATATAAGCCCGCTTTACATTTATTTTCAAACGGCAGTTGAACTGCAGGGCTGCTAGGTCATATAGTGGATCAATGTCTCTACAACTTGTGAGAACAGGAAGACAGATTATTATCCTGATTAGAGAGAAGAGGTAACCTGCAGAAGTTCTAATAACTGGTTACTTGTTATGTTATTCTGGTATGCTTTGAGATGTGTTATTGAAATCTGAAACACGTGTTGAAAAATACAGATATGCCAAGATTATGTTTAGAACAGGATGCAATGTTGGTGTGGTGCTCATTTCAATTGTGGCAGTAGACACTAACCTTAATTAAAATTTAGTTTTGTAGAGTTTAATTATCAATCATTCAGTGTATAGGTGTTGATGTCAATCCTTTCCTATCTGGTGGAATAACTTCCACAGATGTTAGGGAAAGGGGACACCTAGTCATTTGTACAACTGAATGCATTCAATTGAAATGTGTATTTCGCATTTAACCCAACCCCCCTGAATCAGAGCGGTGTTACCTTGCATTTCTTTTAATATGGCACCTGTGATGCTTCTTACTCACATTTTCTCATCCCCAGTCGGCTGATGTGGTTATGTGCTCAATGGTATTTCTCTGTGAAGCAATACGGCATTAATATCTCCATTTCATCCCAGATGCTCAGGCAGGCAGGCAGTGCCGAATTACACTGTCACAGCAGCAAATGGAGAATGTAATATCAACTCTCACTCACAGCTTGCTTGTCTTGCATGAGTGTTCTGCAGAGTGACTGAAAGATAACGAAGGATGAGCAACAGAGGAAAAGAGGCCACATTCTAGAATACAGAGTTACTTTACTGATCATCACAGCGACGTCACCTCATATCAACAGGGGTGTCCTGTCGAAAGTCTGAAAGCACACTGCAAAGTAACCACCATCTTGAAAGTGAATTCTCAAGAGTTCAGTAGGACATACAGTATATGTTTCACACACTGAATATACATTTACAACCTTATGCATAACATCAGTCTCACAAGGTTCCAGACCAAAAATGTACAATAACTTGGACTCCTACACATTACCACTCAAAACCCTGCAGTCAAGACGGACGGTCGTGAGAGCTGCCCAGGCCCATTAATCCACATTGTTCAGAAAGTCCCCTTTTTAGTCAGTGGAGGTGGATGGTTGGTTCCATCTAGGTGAAGAGTGTGGTTGAAGCCATGTTGCAGAGGCCTACTGTGGAGTCACTGGTGCTTGTGTTGGCGTCTCTTCTCCCGGTGTCTGTGTTTCGCCAGGTGCATCTGTCTGCTGTTCCGCCAACATGTCTGTCAGCTTCATGCCCAACACTGGATCCCTGGTCTCTGATGCCACCTGCAGGCCAACCGGAAAAAGTGCAGCCAGTCAGTTGCAAACAGAAGGTCTTTATTTATTTATTTTTTAATTCACCTTTATTTAACCAGGTAAGCCAGTTGAGAACAAGTTCTCATTTACAACTGCGACCTGGCCAAGATAAAGCAAAGCAGTGCGATAAAAACAACAACACAGAGTTACATATGGGATAAACAAAACGTACAGTCAATAACACAATAGAAAATCTATATACAGTGTGTGCAAATGTAGTAAATTATGGAGGTAAGGCAATAAATAGGCCATAGTGCAAAATAATTACATGATTGTAAGTGATTAGTACATATCTGTCTATACAGTATTTGGGAAAAGGGCAGCCAGCATTACACTTAATAAGTTGTATCATTTGAACAGTCTACTCACCGCAGGAACACCCCTCCTCCTCAACACTAAGCCCTCAGCAAGGAGAGCCTTCCCAGCCTCCTCAAACAGGGACTGTTTCTCCCGCTCTCCCTGGCTCTCTAACTCTGTGTACTTCTCCACAAACCTACACAAAGGAAAACATCCCTTTATAGAATTGCAGTAGTTAGGATCCAGCATTACAGACATGTGGAATCCCAAAACTTGACCTATGATGTGACCAATGTGATTCATTGTGAAGATTTGCCCATACCTTTGGCATGTTGAAACAAAGTTGGATTTGGAAAGATCAAAAGCTCTGGGTCCTGTTCCATACACCTCATAAAATGTCCTGATAGAGAGACCGGTGCTGATCAACAAATCAACATTTCCATTCCTAACAGCTTTTGATTGGCAGTAAAAAGTTTAAGGCAAACCGTTTAATTAACTTACGCTCTGATTTCATCCTCTCTGTAGAAGATGTCTGGCACTGCCACTTCTTTCTTCCCATAGATCTTGGCCACTGGTCTGACATAAAGTGGGTCCTTCTTGGGTGGAAAGGCCTTGTATACATCATACCAAATGGGCTTGTCAGACTGTTTGACAACTCCAGAACGCATAAGATCTCTGACTCTGAAAAGGAAACCAGTGAGCCACCAGCAAAAATGTAAACAATAGAGCAAATGCATCCCATGCATTCTCAATTTCACATACAAAGAGCTACAGTGGGGAGAACAAGTATTTGATACACTGCCGATTTTGCAGGTTTTCCTACTTACAAAGTATGTAGAGGTCTGTAATTTTTATCATAGGTACACTTCAACAGTGAGAGAGAGACAGAATCTAAAACAAAAATCCAGAAAATCACATTGTATGATTTTTAAGTCATTTATTTGTATTTTATTGCATGACATGAGTATTTGATCACCTACCAACCAGTAAGAATTCCAGCTCTCACAGACCTGTTAGTTTTTCTTTAAGAAGCCCTCCTGTTCTCCACTCATTACCTGTATTAACTGCACCTGTTTGAACTCGTTACCTGTATAAAAGACACCTGTCCACACACTCAATCAAACAGACTCCAACCTCTCCACAATGGCCAAGACCAGAGAGCTGTGTAAGGACATCAGGGATAAAATTGTAGACCTGCACAAGGCTGGGATGGGCTACAGGACAATAGGCAAGCAGCTTGGTGAGAAGGCAACAACTGTTGGCGCAATTATTAGAAAATGGAAGAAGTTCAAGATGACAGTCAATCACCCTCGGTCTGGGGCTCCATGCAAGATCTTACCTCGTGGGGCATCAATGATCATGAGGAAGGTGAGGGATCAGCCCAGAACTACATGGCAGGACCTGGTCAATGACCTGAAGAGAGCTGGGACCACAGTCTCAAAGAAACCCATTAGTAACACACTACGCCGTCATGGATTAAAATCCTGCAGCGCACGCAAGGTCCCCCTGCTCAAGCCAGCGCATGTCCAGGCCCGTCTGAAGTTTGCCAATGACCATCTGGATGATCCAGAGGAGGAATGGGAGAAGGTCATGTGGTCTGATGAGACAAAAATAGAGCTTTTTGGTCTAAACTCCACTCGCCGTGTTTGGAGGAAGAAGAAGGATGAGTACAACCCCAAGAACACCATCCCAACCGTGAAGCATGGAGGTGGAAACATCATTCTTTGGGGATGCTTTTCTGCAAAGGGGACAGGACGACTGCACCGTATTGAGGGGAGCATGGATGGGGCCATGTATCGCGAGATCTTGGCCAACAACCTCCTTCCCTCAGTAAGATCATTGAAGATGGGTTGTGGTTGGGTCTTCCAGCATGACAACGACCCGAAACACACAGCCAGGGCAACTAAGGAGTGGCTCCGTAAGAGGCATCTCAAGGTCCTGGAGTGGCCTAGCCAGTCTCCAGACCTGAACCCAATAGAAAATCTTTGGGAGGGAGCTGAAAGTCTGTATTGCCCAGCGACAGCCCCGAAACCTGAAGGATCTGGAGAAGGTCTGTATGGAGGAGTGGGCCAAAATCCCTGCTGCAGTGTGTGCAAACCTGGTCAAGACCTACAGGAAACGTATGATCTCTGTAATTGCAAACAAAGGTTTCTGTACCAAATATTAAGTTCTGCTTTTCTGATGTATCAAATACGTATGTCATGCAATAAAATGCAAATTAATTACTTAAAAATCATACAATGTGATTTTCTGGATTTTTGTTTTAGATTCCGTCTCTCACAGTTGAAGTGTACCTATGATAAAAATTACAGACCTCTACATGCTTTGTAAGTAGGAAAACATGCAAAATCGGCAGTGTATCAAATACTTGTTCTCCCCACTGTATCTAGCTAACGGTGCATTCATTTCTATTACGCGGAACCATAGCCAAGATTCCATTTGCTACAAGTTGCAGAAAAGACAGTCAACCATCAAAGAAAATTGTATCTAGCTAACATTAGCTAGCTAGCAAACGCTAAAGGGTCTAGAAAACTAAATAGTATCCTCCAGTAACCTTGACACCGAAATTATGCTGGCTAACATTAGCTAGCTAGCAACACGACATTTGGACCTACCGCGTGAACACCGTTCCGAATTTTTCAAGTCGACTTCCAGCCATAATGGACTTTAATTTAACTACACTATGCGTGTAAAAAGCAGCTAGGTAATTATACAGTAAACTCAAAGATCATAGTTAGCAACTACAGAGCCTCTTTTCACCAGCATTGACGACCACTACTTCCGCATGTAATTTCTGCAGGGATAAACTGCTTCTTCTTCTTCTTCTTCTTCTTCTTCTTCTTCAATGAGGTTTAACGGCGGTTGGCATCCAATTGGTTGCATTACCGCCACCTACTAGACTGGAGTACAACTCCCTTATATTTTACCCTACCATCTAACACTACATTCACAAATTCAAAATGATTGTTAATAATTAACACCACCCTTCTCCACTATTTAAATATATTCATTCCTACCTCATGCCCTCAACCTGAAACGTTGGGACATCACCACCACTCCCTGTAACTCTTCTGATGTCAAGTCTCGCACATCCAAATACCTCTCTGCAGCTGCCACCACAACCTCAATTTTCTTCGACTTACGTTCCATCCCTGCAGTACAATTAATAACCATTGCTATAAACGCTAAAAATCCAATCTTACTGAAAAATATATCACTTGTTGGCCTATCCCTCTGTACTGTATGAAAAATGTATGCACTCACTAACTGTAAGTCGCTCTGGATAAGAGCGTCTGCTAAATGACTAAAATCTAAAATGTAAAATGTACTGGTATAAATCTACTACTCTAACCACTCCCCCCCCCCCCCCCCCCCCCCCCCCCTCCCTTGACACCTCTTCCTCTACTTTCTTCACTGCCTCAGCTTATGACAACTTCTTCACTACTCTTACCCTGGAAACCTCAACCTGCTTCTCTCGCACTGGACATTTCTGATCCCCAGCCCCATGGCCGCCCCTACAATTAACACATACCACTACTTTCCCCAATGCTACACATTCCTTTGTTTCATGCCCTTCTACACACTTCTCACACCTTGGAACCTCCCTCCTACATACTGCTGTCACATGCCCATAAGTTTGACACCTGTAACATCGTAATGTATTCGGCACATAAGCTCGTACAGGATAACTTATAGGCCCTGTGTAGCTCAGTTGGTAGAGCATGGCGCTTGCAATGCCAGGGTTGTGGGTTCGTTTCCCACGGGGGGCCAGTATGAAAATGTATGCACTCACTAACTGTAAGTCGCTCTGGATAAGAGTGTCTGCTAAATGACAAAACATTTTTTAAATCCTAACTTCACTTTGTCAAAAGAAAGGGATAAACTGCACCGAAAGCGCGCTGTAAAAGGATGGGCCGCGTTCCAGATCATCTACATTTTAAGCACTGCGGAGGCTTTCAAGAAGGCATCAACTACAATCAGTGGTGACCCGTCATTCAGGTCAGGTGGAGCCCCACTTGTTTTGAGCCCCACCTGTTTAGCAAAAAAACATATATATATGTACACTATTGGTCAAACGTTTTAGAACACCTACTCATTCAAAGGTTTTTCTTTATTTTTACTATTTTCTACATTGTAGAATAATAGTGAAGACATCAAAACTATGAAATAACACATATGGAATCATGTAGTAACCAAAAAAGTGTTAAACAAATCAAAATGTATTTCATATTTGAGATACTTCAAATAGCCACCCTTTGCCTTGATGACAGCTTTGCACACTCTTGGCATTCTCTCAACCAGCTTCACCTAGACTGCTGTTCCAACAGCCTTGAAGGAGTTCCCACATTTGCTGAGCACTTGTTGGCTGCTTTTCCTTCACTCTGCGGTCCGACACATCCCAAACCATCTCAATTTGGTTGAGGTCGGGGGATTGTGGAGGCCAGGTCATCTGATGCAGCACTCCATCACTCTCCTTCTTGGTAAAATAGCCCTTACACAGCCTGGAGGTGTGTTGAGTCATTGTCCTGTTGAAAAATGAATGACAGTCCCACTAAGCCCAAACCAGATGGGATGGTGTATCGCTGCAGAATGCTGTGGTAGCCATGCAGGTTAAGTGTGCCTTGAATTCTAAATAAATCACAAACAGTGTCACCAGCAAAGCACCCCCACACCATAACACCTCCTCCTACATGCTTCACGGTGAGAAATACACATGCGGAGATCATCCGTTCACCCACACCACGTCTCACAAAGACACGGCGGTTAGAACCAAAAATCTCAAATTTGGACTCCAGACCAAAGGACACATTTCCACCGGTCTGATGTCCATTGCTCGTGTTTCTTGGCCCAAGCAAGTCTCTTCTTCTTATTGATGTCCTTTAGTAGTGGTTTCTTTGCAGCAAATCGACCATGAAGGCCTGATTCACACAGTCTCCTCTGAACAGTTGATGTTGAGATGTGTCTGTTACTTGAACTCTGTGAAGCAGTTATTTGGGCTGCAATTTCTGAGGCTGGTAACTCTAATGAACTTATCCTCTGCAGCAGGGGTAACTCTGGGTCTTCCATTCCTGTGGTGGTCCTCATGAGAACCAGTTTCATCATAGCGCTTGATGAAACGTTCAAATTTCTTGAAATGTTCCGTATTGACTGACCTTCATGTCTTAAAGTAATGATGTACTGTCGTTTCTCTTTGCTTATTTGAGCTATTCTTGCCATAATATGGACTTGGTCTTTTACCAAAGAGGGCTATCTTCTGTATACCCCCCCCCCCCTACCTTGTCACAACACAACTGATTAGCTCAAATGCATTAAGAAGGAAAGAAATTCCACAAATTAACTTTTAAGAAGGCACACCTGTTAATTGAAATGCATTCCAGGTGACTATCTCATGAAGCTGGTTGAGAGAATGCCAAGAGTGTGCAAAGCTGTCATCAAGGCAAAGGGTGGCTATTTGAAGAATCTCAAATGTAAAATATATTTAGATTTGTTTAACACTTTTTTGGTTACTACTTGATTCCATATGTGTTATTTCATAGTTTTGATGTCTTCACTATTATTCTACAATGTAGAAAATAGTACAAATAAAGAAAAACCCTTGGTTTTCTAAAACCTTTGACCGATAGTGTATACAGTTGAAGTCGGAAGTTTACATACACCTTAGCCATATACATCTAAACTCAGTTTTTCACAATTCATGACATTTAATCCTAGTAAAAATGTCCTGTTTTAGGTCAGTTAGGATCACCACTTTATTTTAAGAATGTGAAATGTCAGAATAATAGTAGAGAGAATGATTTATTTCAGCTTTTATTTATTTCATCACATTCCCAGTGGGTCAGAAGTTTACATACACTCAATTAGTATTTGGTAGCATTGCCTTTAAATTGTTTAACTTGGGTCAAACGTTTCGGGTAGCCTTACAGAAGCTTCCCACAATAAGTTGGGTGAATTTTGGCCCATTCCCAATGACAGAGCTGGTGTAACTGAGTCAGGATTGTAGGCCTCCTTGCTCGCACACACTTTTTCAGTTCTGCCCACAAATGTTCTATAGGATTGAGGTCAGAGCTTTGTGATGGCCACTCCAATACCTTGACTTTGTTGTCCTTAAGCCCTTTTGCCACAAATTTGGAAGTATGCTTGGGTTCATTGTCTATTTGGAAGACCCATTTGCGACCAAGTTTTAACTTCCTGACTGATGTCTTGAGATGTTGCTTCAATATATCCACATAATTTTCCATCCTCATGATGCCATCTATTTTGTGAAGTGCACCAGTCCCTCCTGCAGCAAAGCACCCCCACAGCAAGATTCTGCCTCCCCCGTGCTTCACGGTTGGGATGGTGTTCTTCGGCTTGCAAGCACCCCCCTTTTTCCTCCAAACATAACGATGGTCATTATGGCCAAACAGTTCTATTTTTGTTTCATCAGACCAGAGGACAGTTCTCCAAAAAGTATGATCATTGTCCCCATGTGCAGTTGCAAACCATAGTCTGGCTTTTTTATGGCGGTTTTGGAGCAGTGGCTTCTTCCTTGCTGAGCGGCCTTTCAGGTTATGTCGATATAGGACTAGTTTTACTGTGGATATAGATACTTTTGTACCTGTTTCATCCAGCATCTTCCCAAGGTCCTTTGCTGTTGTTCTGGGATTGATTAGCACTTTTCGCACCTAAGTACGCGTTAATCTCTAGGAGACAGAACGTGTCTCCTTCCTGAGCAGTATGACGGCTGCGTAGTCCCATGGTGTTTATACTTGCGTACTATTGCTTGTACAGATGAACGTGGTACCTTCAGGCGTTTGGAAATTGCTCCCAAGGATGAACCAGACTTGTGGAGGTCTACATATTATTTTCTGAGGTCTTGGCTGATTTCTTTTGATTTTACTATGATGTCAGGCAAAGAGGCGCTGAGTTTGAAGACAGGTACAAATGATGTCAATTAGTCTATCAGAAGCTTCTAAAGCCATGACATCATTTTCTGGAATTTACCAAGCTGTTTAAAGTAAAAAATGTAGTGTATGTAAACTTCTGACCCACTGGAATTGTGATACAGTGAATTATAAGTGAAATACTCTGTCTGTAAACAATTGTTGGAAAAATTACTTGTGTCATGCACAAAGTAGATGTCCTAACCGACTTGCCAAAACCACAGTTAGTTAACAAGAAATTTGTGGAGTGGTTGAAAAACAAGTTTTAATGACTCCAACCTTAGTGAATGTAAACTTCCGACTTCAACTGTATATATATATTTTTTTAATGGGTTGCCTGTTTTGCATGTTATTTTGTCATAATACAGTGGGGGGGAAAAGTATTTAGTCAGCCACCAATTGTGCAAGTTCTCCCACTTAAAAAGATGAGAGAGGCCTGTAATTTTCATCATAGGTACACATCAACTATGACAGACAAAATGAGGAAAAAAATCCAGAAAATCACATTGTAGGATTTTTTATGAATTTATTTGCAAATTATGGTGGAAAATAAGTATTTGGTCAATAACAAAAGTTTCTCAATACTTTATTATATACCCTTTGTTGGCAATGACACAGGTCAAACGTTTTCTGTAAGTCTTCACAAGGTTTTCACACACTGTTGCTGGTATTTTGGCCCATTCCTCCATGCAGATCTCCTCTAGAGCAGTGATGTTTTGGGGCTGTCGCTGGGCAACACAGACCTTCAACTCCCTCCAAAGATTTTCTATGGGGTTGAGATCTGGAGACTGGCTAGGCCACTCCAGGACCTTGAAATGCTTCTTACGAAGCCACTCTTTCGTTGCCAGGGTGGTGTGTTTGGGATCATTGTCATGCTGAAAGACCCAGCCACGTTTCATCTTCAATGCCCTTGCTGATGGAAGGAGGTTTTCACTCAAAATCTCACGATACATGGCTCCATTCATTCTTTCCTTTAAACGGATCAGTCGTCCTGGTCCCATTGCAGAAAAACAGCCCCAAAGCATGATGTTTCCACCCCCATGCTTCACAGTAGGTATGGTGTTCTTTGGATGCAACTCAGCATTCTTTGTCCTCCAAACACGAGGAGTTGAGTTTTTACCAAAAAGTTATATTTTGGTTTCATCTGACCATATGACATTCTCCCAATCCTCTTCTGGATCATCCAAATGCACTCTAGCAAACTTCAGACGGGCCTGGACATGTACTGGCTTAAGCAGGGGGACACGTCTGGCACTGCAGGATTTGAGTCCCTGGCGGCATAGTGTGTTACTGATGGTAGGCTTTGTTACTTTGGTCCCAGCTCTCTGCAGGTCATTCACTAGGTCCCCCCGTGTGGTTCTGGGATTTTTGCTCACCGTTCTTGTGATCATTTTGACCCCACGGGGTGAGATCTTGCATGGAGCCCCAGATCGAGAGAGATTATCAGTGGTCTTGTATGTCTTCCATTTCCTAATAATTGCTCCCACAGTTGATTTCTTCAAACCAAGCTGCTTACCTATTGCAGATTCAGTCTTCCCAGCCTGGTGCAGGTCTACAATTTTGTTTCTGGTGTCCTTTGACAGCTCTTTGGTCATGGCCATAGTGGAGTTTGGAGTGTGACTGTTTGAGGTTGTGGACAGGTGTCTTTTATACTGATAACAAGTTCAAACAGGTGCCATTAATACAGGTAACGAGTGGAGGACAGAGGAGCCTCTTAAAGAAGAAGTTACAGGTCTGTGAGAGCCAGAAATCTTGCTTGTTTGTAGGTGACCAAATACTTATTTTCCACCATAATTTGCAAATAAATTCATTAAAAATCCTACAATGTGATTTTCTGGATTTTTATTTCTCAATTTGTCTGTCATAGTTGACGTGTACCTATGATGAAAATTACAGGCCTCTCTCATCTTTTTAAGTGGGAGAACTTGCACAATTGGTGGCTGACTAAATACTTTTTTTCCCCACTGTACGTGTCACATATCAGTTTGTAAAAAATGTAAACAAAAAATTATAATTGAGTCAATAAAGCTGCATACAAACATGGTGTCTTTTTTGCTTTCTTGAGTAAGGCAGCTCCAAAATGCAGGTGTTTTAGCCTAGCTCAGTGGTTTCTGTGGTGATGGGGCAGCCAGCAGAAAATACGGAGCAAAGTGGTTGGTAAGGTTCTCTAGTTGCGCCGTGTTTGGCTCAGTTCTGTCACTCATGGGGACACTACCTCACCGCACAATCTACGGGGAGAGCTCGAAAATTCAAGCCGCTTGGGTGCTGCCATAGAGTTACATTAGAAGTGACCATCCAAGAAGGCTCAAGGTCATTGGCCACAGATAAAATGAAGTCAAATCACGTTATATCTACTGTAGATTTGATTGGACTGATCATGTCAACATCATACTTTCAAAATCTTAGCTAGCAAGCTACCAGTCATCATCATGAATCAAGTCGACAATCTTCTGCCAAATCCTTTTCAATCCTTGTCATATGAAGAGAAATTATGAAAATGAATTATAGATCAAACGTATCGGTGGTCATCGGTCATAAACAGTGGTTTGGAAGGAATCAGTGGCTAGCTGCAATTGTTGCAAATTAATTACTAGCCTGCTGTTCAGTGGAGTGGGTGTGTGGTCTTTTTTAAGGGTCTCTTTTCCAAGCTTAAAAGGATAAACATTCAACATTGGCCATGTTGTCAATCCAGCATGACTTCTGCCACGTTCAAAACAACTGGAAAATCTGAACTGGGAAATCTCAGACTTCGGTGAGTTCAAGACAACTGCGATCTCGGGAAAAAACGAGCTCCAACTGGGAAAATACGTTTTGAACTGTCATCCAACTCAGAATTCCAAGTCGAGAACTCTGGCCTCTTTCTAGAGCTTCGACCTGAAGATCACTGACGTCATGATTCAACCATGTTTTTTTCAGAGTTCCCAGTTGTCTTGAAAGCACCGTAAATCCAGAGAATGCCCACGAAGGACCGTCGCACCACCTTCCTGTTCAAGTGAGCACAGCACAACAAGGCGAGTCCAAAAATGTCTTGAATGCTGCTGCATAAATGATGTAATATGCCAGGGAGATAGTATGACTTTCTTAGCTACAGTATACATAAGTGTATGTTGTGTAGTAAGCTGTTAGTAGCCCATGTGCCTCACCCTAATAATTTGGTGCCTTTTCCCCTCATAATTTAGCCTACTGTTCTGACTTGGTGGTGCACATGTAGCCTATAGCCTGTTTTAGAGAAATGTCATCATCGGATATTGTAAGAGCTTTCATTGTCTGCTTATCTGCCCCCTTTATTTATCCTACGGTTCTGACTTGGTGTACAGGGAGTTTTACTGTAAGAATGGCCCATGTTCTCAATTCTGTCGCTGTACATTTCAAAAGAGCTGAACAAATAGTTATATTGACTACGTACGTCCTAGCTCACTCATTAATGTCTTAATTGAAATTACGGCTTGCCTCTTATGCGCTTGTTGTCCCCTTATGCCATAGTTTGTACATCTCAATTGTCAGTAGAAACCACATTTGTTAAAGCAAGTCAGCCATATCAGCTATGTTTTTTTAAAGGCAGTAAAAGAGGCTGAATTAACTGTTTCGCTGCCAGACAAGGCTCCGCTGATAGCCAGGTGCAGCAGTGGTAAGGTGTTGGGACTGCTGTTGGGACAGCTTTATGTAGGCCCTAACAGTTTGTGGGCACCGTTTGTCACCGTTATAGTGCAATTAATGTATTGTTTACTGTTGTGTAGTGGCTTTGCTGGCATGCATCCAATTTTATTTTTGAGTTTGCCCCACCAAGATTTCCATGCTAAAATCGCCTCTGACTACAATGATTATGTAATATGATTTTTATTTAAATTAATGTTCACAACATGTAAAACACATTCTGTATACAAGCATATTTCCATTATTTATAATTCAGATTCAACAATCCCACATTCCTGTACATTCTGTTATATTGCACAAACGCTACATAGACTTATCACCTATGCATCTATATTCAATCTTTAATATCATCACGTGAATGTAAATGTTATAATCTTCTCTTTGAATTATACTTACAGTGCAAAAATAAATAAAGTGAAAACTGTAAAATGTGGTACTTTTTCAAGCAGAGGGCCAAAGGATGGCCTGCTGGTTTATTTGGGACCACCAACAGCTACATACATGTTCCAAAGTGACAATCATAATCTATCACCAAAAACAAAAACAGGGCATCACAGGAAGAGAGAAAAATGCATGTTATGTGTAGATCTTTCTCCATCCATTGAGTTTATTCACACAAGCCAACAGAGCCCGACCACCTCACTTCTGAAACTGGGCTCCAAAAATGTCCTCATGGTACCTCTTATGAATCTGCAAATAAAGAAACAAAAATACAAACCATAAAAGCACTGTGAAACACTGTCCACTTATTACACATTAGTTTTCATATTAGTGATTGAGAGGAAAGGTGAACCAACCTTTAGTTGGGCCAGGTATTCTCCTGCCTGGGTGAGGGTGATGCCAAGCTGGCTGCTCAGAATATCCTGTACTGCTAGAGTAACTCCTTGGGCCATGTTCACACCCCCGCACACGTAGAGGTGACCCTCCTTCTGGTGCAACACACTCAGCACCTCCCCTGCCATCCTCTCCCTAAGGACATCCTGGACATAGACCTGCTCACACACAGAGGTCAAAGGTTAGGAATAGGAGGCACAGTACAGGGAGATAGGAACCATTTTAAGCTTCAACCTTCACTTGAATCTCAAGCCAATCAGATTCAATGAAGCTTTTCAAACGCTCACTCAGTACATGATTTGTTTCAAAATGACTTCATGCAACAGTACCTTTGGGTGACCTGGCTGGCGGGAATATGTGGATGTAACACTCTTCAGGACCCCTAGCCTTCTCATCTCCAGTGTCTCCTCTTTGTATAAATGGTCTGTCTCTGAACTCTGGCAGCCAAACACAAGGCTCATAGGACTTCCAGAGAAACCTGCCAAGACAAAACCATAGCCCTTAAGGTCAGAGAGATTGTATCAACAGACACACAGACAGACACACAGACAGGCACACACACACACTACCTGGGTGTTTCATGTCATGTAGCCGTTGTTGCCAGAAGCTTCGGAAGGGCGCGATGCCACTGCCAGCCCCCACCAGAATGACTGGAGTGCTGGGATCTGCTGGGAGGTGGAACCCACCTGAACTGTAAACAATAACACATAATCAGTTAGCTTCACTTTAAATAAGAATCTCAATCAATTGGGGATAGGTTACAACCTAGCATTTGGTGCAATTGAAGAGTGTACCAGCCTACTGATATACAGTATGTTACAGTATGTTCTATACCTGTAGATGAAACATGGTACCAGGTCTCCTTTCTTAATGGTATCCAGCCAGGTGCTGCAGACCCCTTGGTGAAGAGGACCCTGTCCATCTAGTGGAAGAACAGTCCAGAAAAATACAGTACAGTTACTTTCATAGCCAAGAGATAGCAGTTCAGATTCCTTTCAAAGCATTTGATAACTGATGTATTGTCATTTCTAAGTTGAGTTGCCCTGTCCTGTACCTTGGATAAGAGTGTTTGCTAAATGTCCAAAATGTGAAATCTAATGTCCTGTACCTTGTGTGTGATAGTTGAGCACTGTCAGAGTGAGATGTAGCTCGTTGGGGTGGAGCTGAGGAGAGGAGCTGATGGAGTAGAGGCGGGGCTTGAGCAGGGGCAGCTGGCTGAGGAGAAAGGCTGCAGAGAGTTCTAAAGACGGGAACTCCTCCAGAACTTCCAGGAAGGTGGGAACGCCGAACGTCTTCCAGGTCGTGTACTCCCGAGAGTCCTGAAGGCAAATGAAGACAGAAGCTAAATAACTTGCAAAATATCTGTTGATACAATTTTTTGGAAAGAGCATAGGCTTACAGAGTTCTATGTATGAAATAGCGCTACATGTACGGATAATGTTTTATTTTCTTAAATTCTATACAATTCCAATAGGTGGTACGTCAAAGCCTCTTCTTTCATGATATATTTCATTTTTATTTCAAAAGACAATAATGAACACTAGTCTTGGAGACAAACAGAAGTTACCTTTGCCAAGGTCAGTAGACGCTGGTGGTGCCCGTCCTGTCTCGCCAACTGAGAGAGCTTGTGGAGGAGGTTCTGACAGGGGGGCGTGGTCACATCCAGGAAGTAGGTGAGCGCCTGAGACAAAGTGCATGCTGGGATGCGTTCGACAGTCTGCCAGTTTTTCTCGTCATCTTTTGGGATATAGAAATGCAGAGTAATTTTAACAGTGCCAATTTTTCGAAAACGATGTCTTCCTCACAAAAATCTGATTTTACCATGGTTACCTCAATCAGCACCATTATTAATGAATAGTGTTGTACCTAGGCAGGAGTCAGAGCGGTATTCCAGTCGTAGGCACTGGTTGGTTGGGGGCGTATGGGGAAGGAACTTTAGGATGCCAGCCACCAGTTGAGGGAGATTCTCTGGGAAAACACCAACATGGTCTCCTGGAGCAAAGTTCATGACCTCTGCACTTCTCTCCATCTCCAGCTCCACCAGAATGGTGGACCGGCTAGAAACAAAAATGACAATGCTGAATTAAACCCTGTCAAAATGGAGTCCTGTCAAAAACGTTGAAAGTATTGCAACAATAACATGCTAGATGACAAGAACTGAACCTTGAATGGGGGCTCTGTAGATTCTGTTTGCTCTTCAGTTTCATGGGGAAGACAGTTTTAGAGTGAATGGCTGAAAGTGCTGTGAAAGAGAGGACAGTGAAAATCATCACATACAACTTGCTGACTGAAATACAAGACTAGTTTATAATGCTTTATAGTGCTACACCAGTCCCTTGTCAAATGTCCATCCCCTGGCCCAGGTGTAGTACCTGTGATGAGGTCCTGGGGGCAGCTCTCCAGTGCTACGCGGTATCTCAGGGGGTCCCAGGCCTCGCAGAGTCGCTCTGCCCCAGGGAACTGCAGACTCAGCTGTCCCTGGATGTTGAACTCCTTATAGGCATCCTGGAATCAGAGAAAGCGTCCTTAGACTCAATGATTAAAAACACTATGTAGATCAATATGATATGCAAATGCTTATGAGAGTAAAGATCATAACAGGTATTTTTTGTAATGTTACTTGAGCATATAGTAGACATACCAGGAGTATGTTAATATGTATACTATAAAATATACTGCAAACATGATCGTCGACACGTAGCTAAGTTCCACTTTTAAGACAGAGAGGCATCCTCCCTTGTCCGCCCACCTTGAGAGCAGTGAGAGACCAGACAGAAAAGGCCTCCTCCTGTCCGTTCAGTTCATCCCCCTCTCCAGTGGGCGTCACCCGCTCTGCCCCCAGCTCCTTCCAACTTGGCATCCACGGCATGGGCGAACGCACAGAACTGTGGGTACATCCTGGAGCCCAGCCCAAACACACAGTACCTAGGGGAGGAGAGGGGGGATAAGACCAGTTTCAAAACCAAAGAGAGGTGTCAGAGACTGTAGTCAAGCTGCCACTTCATCAAATTAGTACATCTTAAAGACATGTACATGTACAGCCCAGTACGGAGAGGACAATGCAGAGAGAAATGCTTGAGATACTACTCACCTTAACTTGTTCCTAAGATACTGCAAGGAGAAAAGCTGCTTCTTAAAACTCTAGGGAAATAAATATTAACATGTGTTGAATATTGAGACATTATATTTTATAAATGTGGGGGGAAATATTATTGTTAATATCTTCAAAATACACAAAAACACACCTCTCCATTTCCAGGGGAGTCTCCATTCCCAAAGGTGCTTGTTACCACAACCAGAAGGCTCTCCTGTTCCATGTCACTGAAGTTGTAGTCCTCCATACAGAGTAACTTTAAATATATACAGAGCAGCTTTAGTTAACTTTGTAAACTTTGTGTAATTCTGCATTTTGAGGACAGTAGTGACTTAAGACATCAACAGATTGTATAATGTACAAGCAGATAACATTTACATTTTAGTCATTTAGCAGACGCTCTTATCCAGAGCGACTTACAGTTAGTGAGTGCATACATTTTCATACTGGATTTTACCATGGTTACCTCAATCAGCACCATTATTACTAGCTAGCTAACTCCCCATTACGTATTCTGTAAATTAACTCAGAATGAGCTCAATATAGTACTCACATACATTTAGGTTCCAATTAAACTACAGTTTTACATTGATTCACAGTGGTTAATACACACAAATGCCCTGAAGCATATTAGCCTGAGGCAGAAGGCCCCTTATCAGCCTTCATAGAGATGAGATGGATCTCCTACCCTGGAGTTGAAGGCACAGTTTAGCATGGAGTTCAGTCTCTGGGCCAATGTCTGTGATTTCCCTGTTTCAGTGGCATACAGGACAGTGCAGCGCACCCTGTTAGCCAGCACTCTTCTCATAAGGGTTGAAGAAAAGAGCGCCGCCCTATAGGAGGGAACCAGACATGAATGATAATACTTTGTAATGCATTATGAGCATGGATTAGCGCAACCTCAACCATTATGTGCATTTATAGCTATGTCAATGATATGATTAGGACTGCATTATAATTTATAACTCATCATGAATGTGTTTATAAAGCATTACAGATATGGGTGTCATAGTCCATGGAAGATTACCTGGCCACAGCTTTGAAGCTGATCTGTTGCTTCCTCAGGCACTTCTCCGCATTTCTCCAGACATGGGTCAACCAGGGGTCGGGCTTCAAACAACAACAACAACAGTCACAGACGGTCATATAGCAACTCCCCTGTAATTCTGTAAGGTGGAGCTTAACCAGATGAATGACATAGCCTATATACTATGCACAATACAAGATGGTGTCTCAGTATCTACCTGGTAGTAGAAGAAGGGAGAGAGAATGTAGTTGACCATTTCCTGGTGGAAGACGGGGGTGAGGGAGCCAGACATGGGAGGAACCAGCCAGGCCCAGTCTGCAGGGCAGCCGCCGCGCAGCCGGAACTCTGTCTCCATGTGCTTCATAAAGGACTCGGCTGCAGAGTGGTGGTCTGTGATGGTCACCCTGTTCTTCTGCAGCGTACAGTAATGAGACAAAAGGAGTGCATTTATCTCAAGGAAAACTCCAGTTGACGGCTGAACAGTTTTCATTGTAGTGTAGCATCCTCTGGCTAAATATTATGGGATGGAACCATCTTATTTAAAATTGTAGGTATTAAAAAAACAAATTATGTAACAAAACAACAACAACATAACTTGGGATTTCTACTGGGAATAACATAATTCAAAAGGCACTCGCACATCTGAGCTATCTTTTTTGCAGGTGCATGGTAACAGTTGAAAAAGATGAGAAAAAATGGTAACATGCCTTTGGATTGGCCCTGTATACGTGAAAGTCATAGGTTACCTGGAAACTGTATATGACTGCAACATTGACGGTCACCAAGGCCTGGTCCTTCCACAGTGAGGACAGCTTGTGTGTCTCCAGGCCCATCCTGCGACCCACTTCCTGTACGGGCAGGAAGCCAAAACATTCTCAACCATTGCATCATTATCAAGTCAGCCAGGGTTATGTTACAGAGGCATGAAACAAGAAAACATTTTTAAACAGAAAATTCGCTTTTTGGTTATTCCAGATGAGGTTACCTCCTCCATTTCAAAACATTTGCTAATCCTGCAGAGCACAACCCTGTGCGGTAGTCATAGAGATTACCTGTGAAAGTGAGCCTTACCTCCAAGATGTTATAACGCTGATAGTCACAGAAATCCCTCACGCCAATCTCAGTGCCCATGTACCAGCCATTAAAGGGACAGGCTGTGAATTCAAGTCCACCAATCTCCAGCAGCATGTTGGACACCGCAGGCACAGCATACCACTTCAGTCCAAGATCTTGGAACCACTTATGCCTAGTGATGAAAGATCAACACAATATATCTGCTAATAATATATAAAAGAGCATGACCAAAAAACACCACCACTAGGATAGATGTGGTTAGTTTCTGTAGTGAATCATTCAGTCCTCAATGTGACATCTTTTTCATACACAATGAGTTACACACACAGTTGTGCTCACTCTACCAAAGGTGCTTGAAACACTTGACTCAACTCAGTATTGTGTCCAGTGAAACGAATGAAGGACCACTTTGGAGTGGTTAGACATTTAAATAAAAGAAAATGGTACAGGTCATTGGGCCCTCCTAGACCTGGCTTTGGGAAACTATTTGGATAAAGGAACGTGCCGCGTAGACAAGTTCTATAGAGCTCTTCACTCTCTCCCATTCAGCTCCGTTCCTCAGACGGCTGATTTAAAAAACCTTGAGCTCTTGAACGACTGGGGGCAATGGTTTGAATTTACCCAGGCAGCCACATAACACATTGATTTAATTAGATAACTACTACTTAAAAACATCCCCATGGCTATGGAGACCTGATGGTCTGAATACTGTGTCTCTAATGGTCTGAATACTGTGTCTCTAATGGTCTGAATACTGTGTCTCTAATGGTCTGAATACTGTGTCTCTAATGGTCTGAATACTGTGTCTCTAATGAATCCAATCAATGGCAAATCTAGTATGGAATCAAACGGATTTGCATACACGTGTGTCATAACATAACTGTTATGTAGTGGTATCGTAACCTAGCAACATCTCTTTGCCAATGAAAGTCATTGTATGTTGTGGAAATAGCTATGATAACTATCTGCAGGCTTGACATTGTATTTGTTCTCAAAAGTGTGTTTAGATAACCATCCAATAGAAACATGGCTAAAGTCACTCACTGGGGGTGTTCCATGGGAACCTCCAGGATCAGGTGTGGAGGGATTTCATAAAGGTCTGGGTCCTCCCCGTTGACCTGCAGTACTAGTGGCAACACATCGAAGAGGCCGTACTGAGGTTTCCATCCAAGCTGGATACAGATCTTTAAGAACACAGGACAAAAGTAACAGTAACTTTTTAAAATGTATACTTTCAAACGAGCACATACAGTATCTGAGCCTAAAATGCTCAATCCTAGATGTTTGAATGAATGTTATTGAAATAGCTGGGGTGGAGCCTGGTGGCTATAGCTACTAGATATAGTACCTTAGTGAATTCTACACTGGATGGGTCTCCCTGGATACTGCCATCAGGCATCTGGTAACCTGCATACTTCACCAACTGGCTGTTCCACACCCGGAAATCATGCCTGTCTTCCTTTCTCTGAGGAAAGATGGTAATTGCAGACCTGAAATAAATAAGACACAAGAAGAAGATCTGTAATAACATATATGGACAAACTGAAATATTAATGGAAGGACTTTGAGAAACTGGCCCATCACAGAGTGAATGACCTACAGCAGGGTTCCCCAATAGGCAGCCCATGGGAGATTTTATTTGTCGCCCCAAGATTTCTGAGGAAAAAATAAATAAATAGCCTAATAATTTTTGTACAATACAATCACTAGGAAATCAGCTCAAAGTGATTTTAATTTAAGAAATCTGTTCCCAAGTATTCCAACGCATAAATAGAGAGGCATATGTGACCGTATCCCAACGTAATCAAGGTTTGAAATTATTCAGTTTTTGTCAAATACTATATCTGTTTGGGATTCTTGCGGTCAATATGCAGTGTACAAATTATTTATGACTATGTTCCGGCCCCCCGAACAACCGCTCAAGAAAAAATCGGCCTACAGCTGAATGTAATTGGGGACCCCTGACCTACAGTATTGTCCTCACGGAGTAAAGGTGCAAGAAATAACGCGTGAGACAGGTGTATTAGCAGAATATATTTTACATTTGTACATTTACATTTTAGTATTTTAGCAGACACTCTTATCCAGAGCGACTTACAGTTAGTGAGTGACTCACAGTTAGTGGAACAAACCTGTAGTTTACATTTTACACATTTCTAACTTCACACACAGTCAGTGTTGTAAAGTACTAAAGTAAAAATACTTTAAAGTACTACTTAAGTAGTTTTTTGAGGTATCTGTACTTTACTTTACTATTTATATTTTTGGCAACTTTTACTTCACTACATTCCTAAAGAAAATAATGTACTTTTTACTCCATACATTTTCCCTGACACCCAAAAGTACTCTTACATTTTGACAGGAAAATGGTCCAATTCACACACTTATCAAGATAACATCCCTGGTCATCCCCACTGCCTCTGATCTAGCGGACTCACTAAACACAAATGCTTCATTCTTAAATTATGTCTGAGCGTTGAAGTGTGCCCCTGGCTATCCATCAATAAAGAAAAGAAAATTGTGCCATCTTGTTTGCTTAATATAAGGAACTTGAAATGATTTATACTTTCACTTTTGATACTTAACTACACTTGAGGAATTCCATTTACTTTTGATACTTAAGTATATTTAAAACCAAATACTTTTAGACTTTTACACAAGTAGTATTTTACTGGGTGACTTTCACTTTTACTTGAGTCATTTTATATCACGGTATCTTTACTTTTACTCAAGTATGACAATTGAGTACTTTTTCCACCACTGCACAGAGTTGAGAGTCTTGTTTTGAAGAGATTATCTTTACTTAGTGTTTTCTGCCCTCTGCCTCATTATATCATACTTCCAATCCTTTCATGTTTCACGAAGAATGCTGGTAGTTAGGCTACCTCAGAAAGTAGGTCTGTCGGTCACCTAGACCTAGATTCAATCCGTGCGTCGAAGATGCACGCTATAGCCCGATTTAAATTAAAAGGCAATGTTCCCGCGTTCGCAGAGACTGCTTTCACGTAAAAGCTGCATATGATGGGTCAATCGAAAATTACCTTTCAATTACAATCGCGCTGTGCTGTGTTTGTTTACCTTAGGTTTCCTCCATTTGTGGCAAACTGTAAGTGTTCGCACAGAAACTGGAACATATCCTGAGTAGTCTTGCACTTTCTGGCATCAAACAACTGCAGAACAATCCAATAAACATAATTAATTAGGCTAACCTACACATAGAACATATCCCACACGCCCATGTGCATGCATGAAAAACACATAGAAGAATAGAATAGAATAGATACTGATATTGATACCCAATAGATCATGAGAAACAGAAATGTATCTTCTGCCTTGTATGTTTTTCTTACTTGTAAATTGGACCACTGAATCCTGCCGATGCATCTTGGGGCGTTCCTCCATGCTTGTCGAGCCCCAAACACTAATTCCTCCATAGTCAGCTGATAGGTTCCTGTGGAACCTATTTCCATAGCAATTTCCTCCAATCTGGCGAGGTGGTGTTCAATTTTGGGGCTATGCATTTGGGATTAAATTAGGATATGTGTAAATCATGGAAAACAAACAAATAATACAATATAGAGGGGATATTTTTTTCTCATTACAAACCTTTTTTAAGGCCCACATAGATGCTTCATAAATTATCTAAGCAAATTCGTACAATAGGCTATAAATGATAACTGGCTTAACTATTTTCCCATACTGTCATAATTTATGAAGCATCTATGAAGGCCTTGTACAGTGAAGGGTTTATAAAGGCTCTTAAATGAAGGACAGAAAATATAGGCTACAAACTATAAATGCCTATAAGGCATTAAACAATATTGCAATTTTAACCAACAGTGTGTATTTTACAGATTCTGCGCTTAGTGGTGTCCGGCAATGGGTTGCACAATTTTGGAATAATAATAATAATCGTCATCGTCTTTAGAGAAGGATTACACGTATTACTTACATTTTGAAGGACTTGTAGTATTGGTTGATTAGGTCGATAGCCTGAGGTAGGATTTCAAGAGCAGCATCTTTGGGACAGCGCATTAGTGACTTCGGAGTCATGACAGAACCTTCACAAACTTTAGATGTGCATGGTTGGTTCTGCATATGAAATAAAATAAGAACGTTTCAATTCAAAGTTGTTGCTTTATTTTATAGTGTTCCATCTTTTATGAAATAGAAAACACTAAAATTGATGCGCGGCTTCATAATTTAAACAAAAGAGTCAAGCAAATAAATTGCGGTACGGTAACACGCCACACACAAAGCATCACAAACTGTAAACGCACCTTGACTGCCTGGTGGTGCAACATGTCATTGAGACTTGAGCCATCCTTCACGTTACACACAGGTATAGAAAACGGACACCTGTTGGCTCTCGTTTCCCACTATGTGATGAACATACAGGAGAAACGGGTTAAACTTATGTCGCTTGCTTTCAGCACATTTCTAATATTATTTCGGCTGTACTCTCAATTCTTACCTTATTTGGTTTAGTCTGGCGAGCTATGTTGGTTTCATCATCTTGAAGCAGCTTCATCTCCATAATTGTAAAATAAATGCAGTTCATTATCATATTTGGAAATGCCATTTATGTAAATGATTCAAACATTTGTAGCCTATTAGATCGCAATGTAAGTGCCTATGGGCTATTTTGCTTTTAGTTAAATAATTGTGAATTCATTGAGTAAATACAAAAATATGAACATTTTGTTTAATTAAAGTGAAAAACCAAAATGTTAAAGTTCAAATGTGCTCAATAGATTTCAGTGTTGTGGCATAAACTCTTAAAAACGTTCGAATTTAAAATATATAATATCCTGGCATTTATTCTTACCTTGAACTCAAGGTGAGACGAGCATCAATTCCTCTCTGAAACTTCTCCTCCGGAGTTTTTTCTATTTATACATGCCTGTAACGAAACATGGGCAGGCTTATAGGGACCTGCCCTCGTTGTGTTACAGGAAGGTAGGCTATAATGAATTACAATAACATTTTTGTGGCCTGACGGTTTTTGAGGTAGGCCTAATTGAATCTGGCTTGGTTTCAACACATAGTTTGGCAATCCTCATTAGAAACAAAATACTGTAGTTTATGTCAAACAGGTGGGAAAAGTCCCTTTTAGAAAGACAATATTGCATTCCCACAGATCTTTTGAGGTATTAATTAAATATGCAGTACATTCATTACAGCAGATGGATCGAGGGAAATGCGGTGTTTTTGCAATAAATTGCATTTTTGTGAGACATTTCTCACATAATTTCATGTTTTCTAGTTTTGGATGACAACAGCAAAGTGTAGACATAAGCCACTATGTAACTGGAAATAACATTACAAAGGGGGTAAATCCATATGAATTCAATCACTTTTTGAAAGCATCCTTTCATTACATGTTTACCCATGGACAAAGTGGTCAGAAAATTACTTTTTGGACCTGAATTCCAAAACATTCAGAAGTAGAGGTGCTCAACGTTTACCCATTTCGTATACCCCACCACACAATGAGACATCCATGTCTTCGTCACCGGAAAATATAAATGGTTGAGTTGGATATCATTTAAAAGCTTAGAAACAGGGTTGTCAAACTATTTTATGTCTTGAAAATTGTAATTTTTGTACCTTTAATATCAATTATCTAAAAAGGCTCAAATCCGATTATTTCATGTTCGCATATGTTGTAGCTTAGATCCTATGAATAATAAAAAACGAATGTGTTGTGCCCTCGATCATTGAGACACAATATGCTGTTGAATACCCAAGTTAACCTTGTTATGGTCAATCCTGTTACTTTATTTGGCACTTATAGGCACTTTTAACTGTCATTTTAATTTACCTTATGAGATGAGAAAAACACGTTTTTTATTAAGTTGAACATGTGCTCTTTATGACAGAATGTTAAAATTAGGTGAAATCCAAAGTTTTTTTTGGACCAAGTTACACTTCTCAAAAAGTACCGAATTGGTGGAACTACCCTAATATACAGTATTTTTTATCACTATAATTTGTTTACCAGCATGATAGCTGTACTTTTAGTTTATGGTTGAGCTTGTTTGCCATTAACCAATCGGCGTTCTCAACAAGTTCAAAGCATGTGAACTCACAACTGATTGCTCCCAGTTTACAGGTAGTATTTTCTGTGTGCTGCAACCTGGACTCAGGGCTAGACATAACATAGTGAAACTAAATCCGTGACACTACAATTAGTATGATGTTACCTTTCGTATGGTATGTATTGATTTGTGGATGCCCATCATCCATTTCGTATGATATGTTAGGAATTACAATTCATATGATATGTTACGAATTGCAACTGTTACAATATGTTAAGAATTGCAATTCATACAATATGTTACAAATTGCAATTTGTACAATATGTTACGAATTTCCTAAACGTATGATATGTTACAAACCAATTTGTTGTGGCTAACCTTAGCTAGGTGGCTAAAGTTAGCTAGGCTATAGGTTAGGGTTAGGGGTTAAGGTTTGGGTTAAGGTTAGGGTAAGGAGTTAGGTTAAAAGGTTAGGGGGGTTAGCTAACATGCTGAGTAGTTGTAAAGTTGCTAATTAGCTAAAATGCTAAAGTTGTCCGTGATGAGATTCGAACACGCCCTACCAACCACCCTACTTTCGTTTTTACCTTAAATAACCTTCTGTCTTAATGTAACCATACCAAACGTAACATATCATACTAATTTCAGTGTCCTGGATTTACATTTACTATGTTAGGTCTAGTCTATGAGACCAGGCTGTGTTTTCAGTCAGCTTTTAATTGACTGCTGTTGAGAGTGGTAATAGCAGGTGCAAGGTGCAATGTAGAAATGTGGTAGTGCATGCACAGTTTTCCTTGTTATGTCATTCACTGACAGACCTTAGAGAACTACAGTATTTATAATCTGTCAGAAATGTCTAGTTGATCATCTATAGCCCATGTTAGCTAGGTAGGTTTTACATTTTTTAAACAATTTATTTTACCCTTATTTTACCAGGTAAATTGGGTGAGAACACATTCACATTTACAGCAACGACCTGGGGAATAGTTCCAGGGGAGAGAAGGGGGCATGAATGAGCCAATAGGAAGTTAGGAATGATTAGGTGGCCATGATGGTATGAGGGCCAATGGGAATTTAGCCAGGACAACAGGGTTAATACCCTTACTCTTACGATAAGTGCCATGGGATCTTTAATAACCACAGAGAGTCAGGACCACCATTTAACATCCCATCTGAAAGATGGCACCCTACAAAGGGCATGTCCCCAAACACTGCCTAGTACTGGCCCTCCAACACCACTTATGGTATAGATGGTATGCTGCTGGCTAATCAGCTATCTAAATCTTGTAGTTATCCTGGCCAGATTACGTGCCCAGGCCAGGGGCCTCGACCCCAAGGGGGCCCCGATTTATTTTGTAGAGTCACTCAGGTATCAAATTAACACAAAATGTGTCAAAATGTGTAGAATTGGCAAAATGGCAAAATGTGTAGAATTGAAGGAATTAGCTATAAAACTGCAAAATGTTCTCCTCGCCAAAAAGAGGGGCGTGAACAGTTTGGGATTACATGCGCTGCGAATTTGGGGTTTGTTACTATGCTTATAAATGACAATATCCATCCAAACCTTTCCTACCTAGGAAATTTGTGTGACCAAACCTTCTCAAATAGTAGTTGAGTACCCCTGTTCTAGGACTATTGAATGAATAATAGAGATTACCTTCTCCCACTTACTGAGATAGTAGGCCTACTATCTTGCTTTAGACAATTATTGTAATAGGCCTTGATAACTCAACTGCATACAATAAAGCACTCATTGTAAGATTAATCTAGACTTCTATATGAAGAATATACAGTATATATTATATTAATTTATTCATCTTATTTTCCCTTTTCTGTCATTTAGGCCAATGGTGTTTTTGTTTATGTCTAGAGTCCAATATCCATGTGCATGTCACAGGTGTGACTAATTGCCCTGTAATCAAGGCAGCATGTGAATTGTTTAATTCACATGGTCCTCTGTAGCTCAGCTGGTAGAGCACGGCGCTTGTAACGCCAAGGTAGTGGGTTCGATCCCTGGGACCACCCATACACAAAAATGTATGCACACATGACTGTAAGTCGCTTTGGATAAAAGCGTCTGCTAAATGGCATATTATTATTATTAATTGAGTAATTGATTGAACACTTGAATTGTATTTACAGTAAGTTGTGTATCTCACTGTTTGAGGTGTGGCCGCCCACAGGAGGAGATGCAGGCCAGAGGTATGGTTGTTGCCAGGAGCATCGGGAAATAATGTTATACGTTTGACGTTATGGAAAACAAGACAGCTTCCTGGGCTGCACCACCTACATGCGCAAGGGAAGGGGGGGGGCAGGCTTAATGTTCACTGCACAAGGAAGTTCATTTGATTTAAACAACAGAGTGGGTGTCAAGTGCTTCTCTCACATCGGTTGCACATTTATTTACGCCATGTTTAACCATGTGATGTGAGTTAATTTCAAGGAAGTTGGCTAACATCTCATATTCCCGAGAGTCATTCTGAAACGATCTGATCACTAGCATTGTCTTTGTTTGAGTCAAGACTCAGGCATCTCCAGATTAGATTTACCAGAAGGAATACAGATAGCTGGGTAAAAAGCACAAACGCTTCCTTCTTATATTTTTTCCACGAGAAACTAGCTCAACCCCAATCGGTCTGTCAAAAGTTATACTCCTCTGAACTGTATTGTACCTAAAAAGTCAGACAAGTTGCAAACAAGTGCCTTTATTTATTTACCACTGTGTACTCTGTATTGCTGTAATCATACATCAATACCAGTAAATAAAACAGTTGTTGCTGGAATATTCAGGTTTATTGTAGGTTATCTGTATGTATTGATTGGCCTAAAAGATGTTACCATTGTGCTGTATATCCACACTTTGTATAGTGTACCCAAGAACTGGGAGGGTCTCAGGAGTGTGTCATCACCAAGCTTATTATAGTTTTGTGATTTAATTATTGTTTACTGGTATTAGTTTAGAATTTGAATTTAGTTTCAGTTAGCTTTCAGACTTGATTTGCTAGTTTGTATTTAGTTTCATTTTGATAAAAACATTTATATTTCATTGTTATATTTTTTAGTGTTAGGGACAGAAAGTAGCCTATGCGTGGGAGGTTAAGAGCCATTTATGTGTTGTAGGCCTATAGTTTTTTTGCGGGGGGTCACTTGTTGCCACTGGGGGAAAGTAATACATAAGGTTATGGGCCAGGACATAGGTTTGGTTAAGTTTAAATTATCAATCAATCCTAATGTGACTTGGATTTAAAAGGATACGCGCCTAGACTGGTGCAAGAAATATGGTGGAAGGCAACTCTCGTCCATGTTTATACCAATCCAATTTCTTTTTTAATTTTAGTAGTAGATGTAAGAAAAATCAAATACCTTTTCCTTAATCTGACAACAAGAGAGGAAAAAACAAATTAAGTCATGTAATGTACTGTATCCCTGACTACAGCAAAAACATTATCAGTTCACAGTCAGCCAGCTTGTGTGTGGTTTATCTTTAAGAAGACTCTGCGTTCCAGAGAAGTGGTCATTCAGTTTCTCAAGCCTGATGACAGAATATTCTTTCCACGAACGCTTGGGGCAGAAACCAGGTCCAGGGGGCCTCCCGAGTCGTGCAGCGGTCTAAGGCGTCACTACAGACTCGGGTTTGATCCCAGGCTGTGTCGCAGCCGGCCGTGACCGGAGACCCACAATTGGCCCAGCGTCGTCCGGGTTAGAGGAGGGTTTGGCCGGCCGGGATTTCCTTGTCCCATCGCGCTTTAGTGACTCCTTGTGGCGGGCCGGGCGCCTGCAAGCTGACTTCGGTCTCCAGCTGGACGGTGTTTCC